CCATGTTAAGACATTCCCCGCTATTTTCAGCACAACGATCGATGAAAGAACAAGGGGTTGGTCACTCCACTCAGTGTGCCAAACATAAGCTTGGGAACATATGGGCACAGTTATTGACATCGTTTTGCACCCATGGTTACAATTTTTCTGATATTTAAAGTTACTGGCAACATTGAACTTTTTCTGCGCCTGCGCAGTGTGCATGTGTCAAAAATATTTATTGATATTGCCACAATATAATCATTTTTTTTTTTTTCAAAACACAACCGTAAATCTCGACCAAGTCTTCGTCGTAGCTTTTGCTTTCCTTCTAAGGACATGGACTCCATCGTACATTGGTTAATCGTGTTCGGATTTGCGACAGTCGCCCGTCACCGAAATCCGGACGCACACACCGGACACTGCTGCCACGGCGGAGTCTGTCGCGGTCGCTGCCTATATCCTAATCCGGTCACTGCCTATATCCTATATCCTCGATGCTCCACGCACCGTTCATCCTCTTGGACGAGGAGAAGCACATCGTCATTATGAACGGGAATGTTGTGTCTTTGTGATCGATCGCGCTGTGGTTGCACTTCATGATGGCGTACACCGCCAGGGCTATGCTCGGGAACTCAACCAATCCGGAGGAGGAACGTTCCGATTTCAGCGGGAACATTCGCACTTGTGACGGGTGGCAGTCCTTGGTGGTGAAGGCAGTCAGAAGCAGATCCTCGGACATACCGGGTGGGGTATTGAAGAAGTGGAGAATCTTGCTCGGGAAAGGAAGCGATTGTTCTTCGAGGCACTCTATCTACGACGTAGGAAAGGTTGTGTTTTGCTGTGGCTAGCTGCACGCACGCTGAGTGCATAGAAATAAGATTGATGACGATTCTGAAGATTTCCTGCAAAAAGATTATGCGCGATGCAATTAGATGCGAGAAATGAGAGAAGATTTTTCGAAGATTGATTTGCTAGTGTGAGATTTTTTGAGTATCTCGAATTGAGATTTAGATGTGTCGCCCCCTCATTGTTCTTGGAGGCGCTGTAGCCCTTGAAGCTGATCGCATTGTCCGGCAGGGTGTAGGGATTGGTGAACTCAAGTACAATTAGTTCTGTTTGGAAAATGCAATCTGAATTTTGCTACCATCATTTCCGATTGGAATGTTGTTCAAGTGCTGGATGCTCTTTGGCATTCAGGAATTTTATACTGACAACATTTCCGTACATGCAAAACAGATTGAACAGCTTAGCGGCGCCGGTGGTGTAGTGGTAAGCGTAATTTTTGTAAACATTGAGGTTTTCTGGCTTGCCATATTCGGCTATTGAGTGGAACCGTCTCGATCATCTCCTGGCCGGTACAGAAGCGTTTGTTATGCGGCCCGTCCTGGCCACCGCCGACACCATTTCCGTTGAACGCCATGATCCTTGAAATTGAGCTAGCACGCATGGGCAAGCAAAGAGGAGGGAAGGGTTGAGAGAATGTCGTGACACCTCACTATGCTTTACTTATCGGGACAGCCTACGATAATAACCACTGTTGAAAAACCTAGATCTTTTCCTCACTCAACGTAGATTCGTACTAACGAACGAAAACACCCGCAATGCTTCGAATGATTCTTGCATTGCTCGAGCCCTTTAACAATATGCTTTCAAATTTCGGATAATTGCCTTATGGTTGAATTCGTCATCAGCTGATGAGCCTCCATATTACTGTCATCCAAATAATGAATGATATTGATTTGAAAATTGGGATTTAAAACGTACAGCGCTCAAAGGACAACAATTTAATGATAGAATTTCATGCAAATGCTTTAGATTAGATGGTTAATTCTATTGTTTACATTTCCATATTAAAAAAGCCATGAAAAGCCATTCATCATGGAAACAAAAATTACTAATTGGTAGAGGAAACTTCCTCCACCACGAAATAGACAATCTACGGTTTTCACCATTTACCAATGTTCGTACCACTTCTGATAGCGATGGCTATGCTTCCACCTCGTTTGTCTCCTCAGAATTCTAGAATTATTTACATCATTGTTTTGAATGATTTGCGTTATGAGGATGAACCAATACCAAATACATTCCAATTTAAGATGACTATCATTCAACAGAGAGCATTATGCATTCCAAGTGAAGGGCCTATCCCTTTTCATGACAATGCTCATCCTGTATTCGAGTGGAAACTCATCTGATTTCAAAACAACCGTCATCCGGTTGCAGCTATCATTCGAAAAGGCGAATTCGATATTTCGATTTGAATGGTATGAGGTTTCATTCGAACAGAGGACGGTGTTTTGGTTCAGTGTAGGTGAAACTAAAGCCCTACAGTAAAAGCAACAATCAATACGAAACTAACGATTTTAAATTGGCTCACCACTTTAGTAGCCTATTGGTCCCAAGCAAACGATTAACGTACCCTATTCTAGTCGAAATTCTAGTACTACGCAATGTTTGTTTTGATTCGCTATGAAAGTTTGACAGATAAAATGAGGGGTTATTGGTTTTTCCTATGTTTCGAGGGGTGATTCGACAAGCTTGGGACCGAAGATAGTACCAGAGGTGAGCCAAAAAGTTGAGCACGTTTCTTCGGGACCTACTTGTCTTAGAGTTACCTCTATGGTAAAAGTATGGACGTCTGTCAAAAGTTGTTCCAATCGAACCGTCAAAATGCACCGCTTTGCTCGATTGGAACAGCTTTTTTCAGTTTTGTGGTGACAGTCGTCCGTACTTTAACTAGAGGGCCTTAGGTGAAACTCTTCCCGCAAGGTTCGTATCTCGGAAAGGAAATGTTCTCCCTACTCCCAGGTCATCTCAGGTTTCGAAAAACAAAACAAAAACAAGCACTGATAAAATACTGGGTTGCCAAATAAGGCATTATTCGTAAGCAAACAAAAGTCAGTTCAATGACTTCTCGGCACTACCGGCACAGCTGCGGCACAGTGAGAAAAAAGTTGGCGCAAAATAAGTGTTTAGAGTGACCACCCCTTCTGAAAGAGGTTTACTTGTTTTATTTAATAATTTCCATGAAAAAACATCCAGACATCAAAAATTAAGTTGGAGAACTTGTATGTAAACAAGGGGTGTTCAACTCTGCACATCCCAATCTGTGCCGAGTAATTTATCTGTGCCGAAAGCGTTGGTCAAGCGTTGTGAAGAACGTGCCGAAGTGTGGCAATCAAGGTATCAGTCTCAGTAACCCATGAGTTTGGCAACCCTGCACTTATGACTTTTGTGATTGTGTGTTTACATCTTCAAGTCAAGTACGGAAACAAGTTGTGAAACTTAATTCCAAGATAATATTCAACGAGCTAGTTGCCAGTCATCCGCTTCAAATTTATTTAAATGTCGGTCCAGGATCTCGATACTGGTTGCAGTCGTTTGATGACTACCTCCTCTTTGTATCTGCTTGTCGTTCCATCATATTTTTTTTATCCTTGGTCATACCGGAATGGCATAATAATCTCCCTGAAACTGCTGCCGGTTTCGGTTGCGTTCATTAATACCGCGATCCAGGCTCTGTAACCTCCAGTGTGGTTACCTTCACAATTCTGTTAATGTTGCTGTTGCCGTCGGTGATACGAACAGTTTCGAAAGAGTGTAGAGAGACTGCAAACCGGTAATACGGGATCCACTGACTCCATCAGCCTTCACAGTAAATCGAATCCGAGTTCAATCCACGGCTGACTGATTGGTAAACCATCAATCGTACCGGGTGGTTCTGCGGGAGAAACAGCTGCGATTGCAGATACATCTGAAGAATAGTAGGATCGTTCGGCAGCGGGCTGTTGTTGACACCGTGTATTACCGCTGCAATGCTCCTTACCCATACAATTGACCCTCGGTCTGGATCCTATGGCCATCGAGTTAATTCTTAACTCTAGTTAATTCTGGCCTATTTTGCGAGGCGTGGTAACTCTTACTAATTCGTTTGGACTTCCCTGAAACAATGGACATCTCTCAAAAGCCATGTGGACTTTCTGTAGTGGTTCATCCCCCCAGAAGGTATCAGGACAAAGAGAGTCTCGTCAATTATACAATCTCTTATTATGATTGGGGAAAATTTCGCTGGAAAATGGCACTGACACAAAAAATCCCTTTCCCCCTTACTTTGAAGTAAATGAAGAAGTAAACCTAAGCACCGATTGGTTAAATGTCAATACAAAACAGTGATGCCGGTTTATATAATATTTTGTGTCATACTTGTCATCGTGTGCCATGACGTGTCAATCAGTGTGCCACGATGTGTTTCGGCACAATGTGCAGAGTTGATTACCCCTTGATTTTAAATCAATATTAAGAAAAATGCACGAGAAGTTCACTAAACAGCTTAACGTAGTCTACGTTAATCATGCGGTGGTGTTTTGTACACAATCCCACCAGTTCTTTTTTCAACTGTTGATGAAAACAAATCACTGACACAATCACACTTTAGCAATCTCCACACGGATAGAACTCCCCTTATACCAAATTGAAAAATTTCTGTTGCTGATTATTCATGAAATCATTAATTCAACTAATAACGCCTTTCAGAGATGAACTAGCCCCAGGCTAAAAATCTCTATAATAAAGACTAAAAAAAAAAAAAAAAAACCTTTCAAACAAGTAAATGGAGATCATGTGTCAAATGAAACGTGTAAATGGTCACGCATAGGACCTACTATGTGGTTTGTCTTATGGAATGTACAAGGCTTATGTTTTGCGAAAAAATGTATAAGTGAAACAAATGAATAAAATAATTAAATTGCATTTCGTGTATAAACTTCAGTGCTTAGAAATCATCAGGTATGATTCTTTTAATCGGATTAGTCAAAAATCACTCAACTCAGCGACAAGAGCCTTGATGGAAGGCAATCACTATTTGACGTTGAGAGTCTTTTCACGATCGATTTTTTCAATCTATGTAGTTTATTTTTTTAACAACCATGTATTATGTAAATTGATTCTTAATCTGATTTAATTCAAGATTTACCATAACAAATCTAAGCTGAAAAGACACAGTAGAATATTTTACTCACCTTTGAGTGCTTGTTTGTTTGTCCATTGATAGTTGAAAACAAGTTGTCTCAGCTTAGCTCATGTTCGACGGAGTCATCTGAAAACAAATAAGAGAATCATATTGTTAGATAATTTATAAAACGTTCGAAAAATAAAAAAAAAATAAAACAATCAAACAAGTTTTGCCCGTAGAATGTGATAAACGCATCCCCATTTTCGCTTAATCACATTTCAAAGCGAGCGCCCACCAGCTCCGCATTCCGAAACTGCGCCATATTCCACTTTGTCAAATCTGCAAAACCACTTTAGCCACCATCGAAGCAGGCAATAAAAAGCACACACACACACATGCCACTCACTCACTCATCCACCCACCCACCACTCGCCATCCGCGGTCCAAGTTGGCCGCAACCGAACAGGAACGATGCAGAGATAAAAGATGCAAATGGTCCAGCAAAGTGACACTTTTCCAACTGATGCGAACTGCTCGACGATCCCGCACGGCGCGGCGCACTGCAAAAGTAATTAACATCGTTTCTGTGTTTCAACTCCATGAGCGCACACACGGAGAAATGACCGGGTCGTAATGTCTTTTAGCTTGCCCCCCCCCCCCTGCGCCCCACAGAACTGAGCTTAAGATTCGACTGGTCGGTCGGTCAATGCGAAATATTTCCTTTCGCGAATGCTGTGCAGGAGAGAGATAAGACCGCCGGGAGCAGGTTGTTGCGCTCTGAGCATGGACAAGGTATGCGCACATTGAACCTGTTCTGGGAGCTTAGGCCTAACGGGAGAATGCCGCACATCCCGCGAGCGACTCGCCACATTCAAAAGCCAATAAACGATATCAATAACAGTTTGTCACTGGCAAATATTGACTCGCCGCTCGTAAACTTTGAGCTTTGCACCACCCTACCTATGTACTAATGGGAGTCGCCATCATCCGCTAGAAAAACGGCAATGTGGAAAATTTGCATATTTCTGCGTCGGTTTTTAAAAGAAAAGTGCGTTACCGCAGCAAGCGGTTTGTTTGTAGTTGCATTGTTTATCCACCTGTTGACTTCGGAAGACTCTCGAATATTCGCCACAGTAATGGTGGAAGAAATATTGCTGTGTGCTGAAGGTAGGTTCGAAGATGTTTTGAATAGTAATGCCGAAAAAAGCCGTCGGTTGTTTACGCTCCATGAGCTCATAGTAAACAAGACTTGGTAGTGCTGGGTTTACGCCTCGTGCTCGACATTGTTAGTATGAGAAAGAAGGTTCAACGGACTTGTTTGGTTACACCAATTTTGGAATTTAGATCTTCCTTTGAGTCTAATTAAAATTGGGAATAATTGTTTGGCAATTGCAGCGCAGAACGCATTACAAACAAAAGTGGATATTGTTAAAAAAAAAATACATCACCCCCGTAAGAAAGTAATTTACCTACGAATTCACAACGCCAACGGTGCTTTGCTAATTTAACGTTCCGCGCATGATCTTGGTTGCATCAATGTGTTCTCATCACTGTTCCCACGATCTTGTCGACTCCAACTTTCAATCATAAGGATTTTCCCATAAAAATTACCATCGAAAAAAAAAATTAGTCACAGGTTCCTCAGTAGCACCCGACCGTAATCCTCAGAACAGAATCTTCCCAACCAAAAGGAAGGTCCAACTCGTCGGTCAGAATTACGCAAATAATGCCGCATCCACCGTCCATCGACCGACTCGGGCGGGACTCAACCATCCGAGGTAACCGGCTTCCTTCCCTAGCAAATTGCTTGGCTTAGCTTCTCCTTCTGCTGCATGCACAACAGTCAACCAATAAAGTTTATAACTAATAAAATTTAACGATTATTAGCCCAAACAACAGTGCACATACACACGGTCTCTCTCTGGGGCTTGCAGTCCACCCTGGCTGATTGCTGGTTTTGGTGCATCATCCTCCCGCTCGCAACAACAGCAGCAGCAGCAGCACTATAATGGTGGAATTTTTACGAGTTTCCTACAGATAGAAAAAGGCAGACAGAAATGGCAACAACTTCGAGCTTAAGCTATCTAGCTGGTGGAAGACTCCGAGGGGAAGATTAAACAAATCAACAAATCAGACATCGGATATGATCGCATCTTCGAGAGCCGAGCGAGAAGAGCTTGAAGTGAATTAATTAGTGTCTCTATTGTTTGAACGGACCATTTTCTGTTTCCTGCCGTTTCAGGGCCGGTTATAATCCAGGTCGTAAATCCTGAGGACATCGAATTTCAATTACGGAATGATTTGCTTGCAGTGAACATTGAAGCTGCGTTCGATGGTCGTTTACGGTTAGCTAGCTGTCAGTTTTATTCACACAAGTCAGTGATCATGTCTCATATATGTGTGATCAAACAACAGTAAAACTTGAATCAACGGGGAATTGATTGAAACACAGACTGTTCGCTAACTGATGTTGCCATATGTGTTTCAGAGCACATACATTTATCAAATTTACAAGTTAAATGCACTTTTGGATACATTCCAAGGGGTTGGTCACTCTTCAGAGTGTGCCATAAATACAGATGGGCACACCTGGGCACTTTCATTGGCACCCATGGTTAGAAATTTTCACGATAAAGTCTGGAACGCGCAAAAATTAGTCAACTTCAAATTGGTGTATTTCTGTTAAAAATGCTTAAAAAACCTGAAATGCTGCATTTGGAAGTTGAGTGTATATACAATGGTTGCTATGATGAGTTTTCACCGTTTGCTTTCCAGTTTTCAAAATGACGCCCAAGCAAGAGGAGCAGCGTGTCAAAATTTTGCTCGCGCAGCAAGAGAATCCGACGTTCTCACACGCCAGCAGTTGGCAAAATTATTGGATGTGGCCAAGTCGACCGTGACAAACGTTTTAAAAGTGTTCGGGGAGTGTCTGTCCGGGACGTTGTTGGCAAGCTCAATATCTCCCATACTACTGTGCAGCGGGCTAAGAAACGAGCCGGGTTGTCGACGTTTAAGAAGGTGAAGGGGGTGAACCGAGATTACAAACAAAACAGGTCGCAGCGGTCCCGAAAGCCTTATTCAAATCTGCTAACAAAGTTCGACTGTGTCGTCATGGACGACGAAACTTATGTGAAGGTGGATTTCAAGCAGCTTCCGGGACAGGAGTTTTATACCGCATTATGAAAAGGGAAGGTTGCTGAATATTCAAAACCATCAAACGAATCGAAGTTTTCGAAAAAATATCTCGTCTGGCAGACTATATGCACGTGTGGTCTAAAAAGCGGCATTTTCATTACTACGGGAAACATCAATCAAGAGATCTACGGCCAGGAGTGCCTGAAAAAGCGGCTGCTACCATTCCTAAAGCAACATAATAGACCTGTGCTGTTCTGGCTGGACTTGGCGAGCTGCCACTATGGGAAAATAGGCAATCGAGTGGTACGATGCGAACAACGTGGTTGTGGTACCCAAAGACAACAACCCTCCCAACAGCCTAGAACCATAGAGGTAACTCTAAGACTAGAAGGTCCCGAAATAACGTGCTCAACTTTTTGGCTCAGCTCTGGTACTCTCTTCGGTCCCAAGCTAATCGATTCACCCCTCGAAACAGAGGAAAAACCAATAACCCCTCACTTTATCTGTCAAACTTTCATAGCGAATCAAAACAAACATTGCGTAGTACTAGAATTTCGACTAGAATGGGGTACGTTAAACGATTTACTTGGGGCCAATAGGCTAGTCAAGTAGTGAGCCAATTTAAAATCGTTAGTTTCGTATTGATTGTTGCTAGAACTCCGCCTTATCGAACGGTATTGAGCTTTGGTCAAACGGAATCTAAAAAAAAAACTAATAGGGGGATTAGGGGCATAATGAACACACAGGGCGAAATGGACACCCTCAAAATAACAAAATCTTTTAAATTTAAACGGAAATGTAAGTTGTTAATCATTTTTACCACTATCAAACATATAATTTTTCAATTATTAGTTTTTGTTTGTCTTGTCCCCCCGTCTCGATGAGTCTCATCGTCGCCCACTGGTCACCCACCATAGCCGGTCGAACTCCGGACGAAGCTAGAACAGCACTACCGTTCATACTGGCGACAACGCTCTGATGAGACAACGAAACCCTACCCCAAGCTCCTCCCCTGATCCTATCCTTCAAAAATGTACCCTTCTAACCTCGAGTAAGCCGCGAGTAATCGGCCCAACTCCTACTAGACATAGAATTAAGTGAATCTTGTTACACACAGTGAACAATGAATTATCGGCTCCGTAAAGCTAACGCGATTGAGCCTTCCAAATAAACGAACTAGATAAAAAAAATAATTTTTCAATTGAACAGTTGATATCCTCTTTTAACCACCGAAATATATGAAAAATTAGAAATCATAACCCAAGGGTTTGAAATATTATAATTTCTAACCAGAGCAAAATAAGGTTTTACGAACGTTTTAGAATATTTATTATCAATTACCTATTTGTCCCAAACACGTTCTTTGTATCGCTGCTGAAAGTTGACATTAATCACAATATTGTTTTTTACAATAATTTATTTTAAAAAAATGCATTCAAATTAATATAGTCGATTAGGGGCGAAATGAACACCTCTAGTAGGGGCAAAATGAACACCACTTGTTTCTGGAATCTAACCTCAACGCCCACTTTGTTGACTTGTTTACATTGTTTACCTACGCAGTGTTTTGGAGGCAGTGATGGTGCGAACGTACAAAAGACAATCGGGAAAGCAGCAGTGGTCCAAAACGGCCATGGAAGCGGCCATAGATTCTGTCCGCCGGAGTGGAACGTCTATCAAACGAGCAGCCAAGGACCATGGAATTCCAAGACCTACGCTGATCCGCTATCTGAAAACTTCAGAAGTACTGGGCCAGGAGGTGAAGCAAATCGGCTCATTCAAAACAGTTTTCATACCTGCCGAGGAAGCTGCTTTAATGGCCAACATTTTGGACTTTAAGGTTCGATGCTACGGAATTACCACCCGCGACATCCGGAGCCTTGCCTTCCAGCTGGCCGAACGCAACGGGAAAGCACATGTTTTCAATACGAAGACACAGCTGGCTGGTTGGGATTGGCTTCACGGTTTTCGGAAGCGTCATCCCAAACTCTCGCTCCGTACTCCTGAGG